CTTTATACTTCTACTAAATGGACCAACCTTAATTGATTTAAAATTATTGTATCCCATTGTAATGATAATGTAGTACCACTAATTAAGTTATTCGGAGGAACTGTCTTAAATTAATACTAATGCTTAGCATCAAATTCGGAAATGTATATTATAAAACCAAATCAGTGAAATGAATTTCTAAGAGATTTGGCATTTATACAGCAGTTCAAATATTATCTGCTCACTTACTATATAAATTTACATACGGACTCCTTTACATCTATTTGCCCAATCGAGGTGTTTTGGAATAAGGTGTTCGTGTAGGTGTTAAGTATTTTCACTGCATTACAAATGAGTAACTTTTATACCCTTTTTACACTATTTCTAGGAAAGTTTTTATCTTTTGATTGTTTTATTAGGAAAACTTTTACAAAATGTTTTTCTAATGCTCTAAAAATAATACACAACTAATGTACAAATAAATATTAGACGAATTTATTTAATCTTTTAATTGAGATTATTAGTAAAATAGAAAATTTCTAACGAACATTGGCTTTGAGCTTCAAATTTGGCAGTTTACGAGTTCAATAATTAGTACTTACTGTCTTAAAAAATTATTTACGAATAATTAAATACAAGAAATCATTCCTAAACCACTGATTCAATTAATTAAAATATAAAAATAATTTTTGTTGTTGTAATTTACTACTGTTTGAAACCTTTCTATTTAATACCACAGTTTCGGTTAAAGTAAAAATAGTCACTACTGTCATATTGACGTTAAAATCAAATTTAATATTTATTATTAAATATCTACAATTTATTAATAAATACAATTTAAAATATTGATGGTCAGAAATAGAAATGGCCCAATGTTCCCCTCTAAACGTACTAGAATGATATATATTAAATAGTTTAAATAGTTTCTGTTCAATAAAATAGTCACTATCTTAATAGTGGATGTTAAAAACAAATTTAATATAAAAAGTTTCTTCAATTGTGACATATGAGCAAAAAATAACACATTAACAAAAGTGTTCCCATTAACTTACTGAAAGAGATATTAAATTATAACAAAATACATAAATAAAGGAGAGATTCAAATATACAAATAAAATATCTATATCATAATATACATATGTCCCCAGCTTTAAATAAAGTAAAATCATTCTACCAATAAACCATAAAACACCAAATTGCACAATTTAATTTTCACACTCGGTGAAAATATCCTACTTCCTGCCTTCAAATCCCACAAAGGCACATATCCTAACGTAATTTTATATGAAAAAAAGTGATTTCATTTTAAATAAAAACAAACAAATTTTTGTAAATTTCCGGTTATAATAAAAATTTTACACCTTGTTACAATTGCCAACAGGATATCGCACATGCCACAAACTGAGCAATTATTTAATTCTACATTCACATTCGAGTGTTGGCGTGCAACATTCGGCATGAATGGCAATGTTGCCTTCATTTGAATTGGTTCAGAGCATCCAACGATTTGTGCGCATACTGCCATCTCATTCACACTACTGCACTCGCCCATATCCACACAAGCCTTTGTTGCTTGAGTTTGTTTGCCTTTAACCCACGCCTTTTATGCTGTTATTGATATGTTGCTGTTGCTGATGTTGTTGCTATTATCTTTTTGGTTGCTTTGTGAGATTGGAACAATTTTTTGCCTTCAAAACACGCGCTTCATTGCGGGTGTGTAATACTGCTGTTATATTTGTTGTTGTTGTTGTTGTTGTTGCTGTTGTTGTTATATGCTTTTTGTGTTGTCCTGTTTGCCTTATAGATCCTTTTAAACCAATCCAACTGTTTCATTTCCGTTATTATACTCAGTAAGTGTCCATGCCGTTAACAGCGGTGTTGTTTGTAATAAAAATTGAATTAGCCCAGGACAATAATGCAACCAGAATAGATCATGAATCGTTGTCATTCTCTATTATCCCGTCCGTTTGTTGTCATGCCGCGCTTTTATCTCAATTGCATTGGTTTATGCTTGTTGTGCTTCAGTTTATTATCCTTTCACTTTACAAATACCATCTGCTTCAATTCTATTATTTATTTGGCAAATGGGGCGATTTGTTATAATTTAATTATAATGCCAACAAATTGACCTTTACTTTTTCCCAAAGATGCAGGATGATTAGCTATTGAAGTGCAGATAAAATCTTAAATCGGTGAGAAAAAGTTTAAATGAAATGACTTTTTAAAATGAAAACTTGTAGGCTTGTAAAAATGTTTAATCTGAAACTTCATTGAATATCAAACCATCAGTTTAAGTGACAAAAAATATATTAGCTCTAACATATATAAGATCAGGGTTGTGTCCAGGGTATACATATGTATAGCCAGGGTTGTGTCCAGGGGGTTAGCATTCGAATATATTTTTTGTGAAAGTATTTTAGAGTTTACTGAATGAATTAAAATAATAGTTAAAGGCTTATGCTAAGATGGCTTATACTATTATAGTTCTTTGAACTAATTATAATAATTGTAATAACGTTTAGAAGGTAACGGCAAGAATAAAATCGTAATAATAAGAATGTTCGAGTTAATACTCGAAAATATTAATGAAAGTTCTTTTACAGTTCACTAAACTAATAATAACAGTTGGAGAGTTATTCCAAGTGAAGGACATTTTAGAACACATTTTTTGTCAAAATTGTCCCTTGTAACTGACTAAACTAATTATAATAACAGTAAAAATCTTATTGGTAAACATATATATATACCCATATGTATATACTCAGAAAATAAACCTCAATTCCATGGTTCTTATTTAAAAATGATAAACTTCTGTTATGTTTCTAAACCTAAAAAAACCATAAACTGTATCACATTATATAGTGATCAAGAAAGGTCAAGAAAGAATCTATTACCTTGATCTCCTCAAAATATATCACTGGTACAAGGCTCTTTTAATAAGTCTTAGTTATAACAGAAATTAAATTTTGAATAAAATATCTTTGAAAACTGTGATCATTGACAACAGAAATATTAACGAAAAAGTCTAAAGGGTCATTTTTACACTAAAAAGTCATAATGTTAAAGCAATTACTTCAAAAAGATTATGTTTGAAGGTTGGTAAGACTAGCAAATAACAGCTAGCACAAATTTTTTGCAACAAAATAAATTTAATTCTAATTCTAAGAATCATTATTATGTGCTCTACTAATTTAGGAAATGTTAATATCCTCTCAATTTCACAAATCAACACAATCCCACTTACATATATCATAAACCCCGCAAAGTACATTTTCCAGCAAGGAGTTTGAAAAATGGGGTGAATACTTTGAGAATTTACAAAATGATTCCCTTCAACATATTGTTCAGATAAACACCAGTTAACCCATGGGTTAACAATAAAATTATTTTTTACCTAACTAAAGCCTTTATACCACAGATTTATTAAACATTTATGTAAATAAAGTGACTTTAAACTTGGACTTAGATGGAATTACAAATATATATATATTATTGGATTCAGCGAAAGATTCTAACTACATTTATTTTTGACATATACATTAAAAGAATATACATATTTTCACAGAAGTCCCTAATATTTTGAATATTTTGAAAATGGGTATTAAAGTGTATAATATGATTGAAATGTGTAAGATAGTGAACTTTTCATAACTAGTATGAAACAGCTTTCATTACCTGTATAAGAAATAAAAGATAATGACATTCAAAAGGTTTTCGCTAGATAATATTGAAAAGCATCTAAAAGACAACCATAAAATTGGACAGAAACTTTGATATGAGACGCAAACAAATGTTTTTAATTATGTTTTTTTATTGCGAGTTCTAATTTCTGTTTTTATTTACAAAGATCAAATCTGTGTCGGTCATCTTTTAACTATGATTCATAGTTAAAAATAGGTAAAAGAATATAGTGGGTTTCAACTTTTATAAGGCTATCAAGGTACTGTTCAACTATAATTAAATTTCGTTGAAATCGAATCAGCATTTTAGACATTTCTATTTTATTCAATTAACAACACTTTCTATATGTACTATAGATACATTAAAATTGCTGAGGTTTGTTATTGGAATTATATTAGAAAAATTTTATTCTAATTCAAAATAGAACGATGATTTTAAAACTACTTTAATTCAGGATTGAAAGTGTTGTGATTAGTATAGCGAGAAAAGGTCGAGTTTTGTTTATATTATTTATTTCGATATACAAGATTGTATTAAGTTAGGTGGACAGTTATATAAGCTTTTCAGTTCATTTTGAAAATGTTAAAAAATATCAGAGCATTGAATGATCAGTCAAAGTCAGACTAATGAATTTTAAATATTAAGATTGTAAAGAGATATGATGTAAAATACCCACATAGGATAAGAACGGATTGTTCTACAATTAAACAAAAATCCTAGGATGGCGTAACTGTAAATTGATGTGACTTAAAATAAAAAGAAACCGCATTCTTTCACATTGGATGATCTGTAAAGGTTACACTAACGAATTTTAAATATTAAGACTATTTGGAGATATGATGTAAAATAACCGTACAGAATAAGGACACATTGTTGAAATTTTAAGTCCCTTCCGTATGGAATACGGAATGCGTATACGGATGGAATTACTTCAAATTAAAGACTTTATTGTAAACTATTTGTTTTTGTATGAAATTAATTTTTTATGAGTTGCTTTTAAATAAATTGAGTTTTTGATTTTTGAGGGTTTTGTTGGGGTAATATTTTCTTTAATTACTACGTAACTTTGAACGAAAATAATTTTAATCCTTTGCTTTTTTATGGCTAAATTCAATATTTTGAAGTAAATATAAAGGATATACATTTTTTTGCATTCACCTACATTAGCATACATTTACTAAGGTTACTTTTCGACACTTTATATTACAAAAATTTAAACGTTTTGATTAAATTTAAGCTATTTCACAAATTGCTATCATGTTAAATAAAATCAATTTGTATATATTTTTGTTATATTCATTTAATTTCATTTAAAATATAGACAAAATTAAATGAATATATCAAAAATATATACGTAAAAATTGTTCAAAATCTTTAATATTTCACATAAGGAAATAAATAGTTCTCAATCTGTTGCCGCTTTTTCAATTGCTTTTGAGTCATTGTAGTAACGGAAACTGTAGCCCCCTTGGCGTGTGTGTGATAAATATCGCAATATCGAGCTGGTTCAAATTTTTCCATCTTTTTATATTCTTTCAATCGAATGTAATAATTCATCTTGTAGTTTGCAGCCATTTTTCGCCAATCTTTCATACATGGATAACATAAGTCTAATTTACTAACAAAGTCGCGAAAATAATCACCCTGAGGTGTTTCAAAGCATTTAAAACACTGTGCTTTATTAACTGGTGTACATATAATCCTATAAACAGGAACTATCGTGTGTTCGCTCCCAAAAGCCGAGTGTAACTTTAATTTTTCTATTGTACTAGTAGTATTATAAGTCCCAACTCTAAAAATAAATATTGAATAAATAAACGCTTTATTTTACGGAAAAAAATACTACAATCAATTACCCTGGAGTAACAGAAAGAACCCTATTTCTAGGTTCTCTACAAGGAGTAATGACATTCCTTTTAATGGGCTGCCTTATGTCAATATTGTAATCACCAGCTTCTGGACGTTTCGATTCACGTTCTTGTTTATATTCTGCTAAGATTTTAGAATGTCGCAGACGGTGATTGAAAAGCTAAAGTAAATAAATGATTTCTAAAGTAAATGAAAAAATGCTAAAGTAAATGAAAAAATAAATTCAAAAAAAAAACGAACCACACGTTTCACAATTGGTGGGGTATAGGCACCTGGTCCTGGAAAGTCAAAACTGCCTTGTGTGTGTGCACGCATAAATGCAGACATGTTCTTAATATTATCAATGCCGCGCTCAGTGGTTGACCCGAAAACAACCTTTCCAGTACTAGTTGGATTTATAACATAATCGAAATCTATATAAATGAAGACATATTTTAGCAATTAAAAGATATAGTTATATCCGTTCTACTAATCAAAGAAACCTTCCCTCAGTTAATGACGTAGGCAGGATTAACATTGTTTATTCTGAACAAAAACGAAAGCTAGAAAATTAAACTTGTTGGCGAGTTCTTACAAAAATTCTATTGTTAGATATAAAGAGAAACAATATATATCGTTGATTCATTATATTTTAAACTACATTTATATACATTTATATGTAGATTTAATGTTTAGCTTACTTTTATTGTTTTTCTAATAAACTTTATATCACATCACAGCCATATATGTATGGTCGATCGGATTCATATATGGTCATATTATTGACAAAGCAATTTGTATAAAATAGAATCGTTCAAACGATACATAACAAAATTTCATGATATTCCTATAATTAGTTGACGGATTACAGTAGTTTTGGTGACTGCATTTTTGTGATTTTGAAAACTATGGATAGAAAGAATGTGTTGATGTGTTAATTAACTACTGCTTAAAAATATAATGTTATGAAAACTTTGCACTAAAGAAATCAACTGTTATTGACTGATTTATTGAATTTAGACGTAGTCGTACAAACATTGATGATGCTGAGTACTCACCACAACCCGCCGGCTATTCTCGAAAATATCAAAAATATAGAAAATAGTTTTGAAGGACAGTAACATGAATTATCGTGAGATCGCTGGTACCTTAAAGATATCAGTAGATAGTGTATCAACAACCCATTGTACTCTGCAGATCTAATTCCCAACAACTACTTACTTTAGACAGACATAAAAAGGGTGCTACAGACAAAAACAATTTAGCTTAAAAGAGAAGTAACTTGCAAGTTTAAGACCTATCTAGAGTTTAAAGAGAAATCGTTATATAAAAAGGGTATCGTGAAGTTAAAGAAGCGTTAGAAAGAATATACCCCTATTGAAGGAGAGTATGTTGTTAAATATATAAGTTTAAATTGACTTTCTTAACTAAACCGGAAACTTATCAAATGATGCAATAAGCTGCTTTATAGATTTAATGGATTTCAATTTTTTGGATTGCAATCCAAATACGTAGACTTGAGAATGGTTGGCCGGTTGTAGTGCTTGATGATCAAATACCTGTCTGCCTTACATATTTAGCGATTATTTACTGTTTTAATACTATATTCCTTGGATTTATGTAATTCAAGGATAGGGTTTTGATCTTAACTTGGTGAACTCTCATTATTTTTATATATAAAATAAATCTAAGAGAATTGAATTGGATTTAATTCTTAACTTACCAATTTTTCCCAATCTGACCAGTTTCCTCGTTTTCAAAGCTTTCACCATTTTGTCTTTTTTTATATAATATAAATAATAATAATAATAAATAATAATTAAATAAAAAGTTGCAAAAAAATGCAAAAAAAAAAACAATAAAATAAAATAAGCGAAATTTTAACAAAACATAAAAACAAAATATAAAATAGAAATTAAAAAAAAATTATAAATTATATGTATATGTAATAAAAAATTTAAATTCAAATTGAAAAAATAAAAATATATTCAAATTTCTAAAAACAAGTATTATTTGAGTTAAATTGACTTCAAAAGGATATTGGAAAAATCAATTTTGTAATTTTTTTTAATCGAATATTTTGTATTTAACTTAGTTAATGCTCTTAATTTTACTAAATTGATCAAAAGATATTATTATTATTATATTATTATTATCTGATGAATTCGCTACACAAATTGACTTCCTTAAACTTAATGTAATGAGAGTCAGTATGTTATATACGTACTTACATCTACAGTCAAACTTCCATGACTCGAAGTACCCTGCTGTACTCTATTTAGTTCGAGTTATAGAAAATTTGAGTTATAGAAGTTTGAGTTATGAAAGTTTGACTGTATTTATCTTTATTAATACTTAAATTATCTGGAAAGTAATAATTTCTGTTATACAATATCTTCTAGTATCCTAAACAATAGACTTTTTAACCTATTGTGAAGGTGTTAGAATGATAACTCTTCTTTGTCACGCACTGTACTTCAAGAAAACATTATTTTAAAATATGATTCAATTTTCTTCATTGCATATATTATTAATCCATCTTATATAGAATATATGGTAGTCCTTATTAGATTATTAACGATTTCACATTTAAAATATTTTTCTAATTTTCCATTAGGCCTCATTTGGACCCATTTTTATCATTTTATTGAATTTGATTTTATATTTAAGAAGCCAAGTAAACAAAATAGGAAAAGGACATTAGGCGATATTCAATTTCACATCCAGCTGGAAGAATTGACACAACTTAGTACACTGCCTATTTCTAAACTTAAAGTACTTTATTAGAAAGTGACAAATGACTATTATCGGCTTAGACTGAAAAGGATCCAATTCGCAAACGCAAGACCAGTAAAGGAAGACCAGTAAGGGAAATAATATAATACATAATCAAAAAATTAAAATCACAAAAGCTGCACTTGGGACTACAAAATATATCACAAAAAAATTATTAAATTTTTTAGGTGTTCTATAAAATTTGAAGAAATGGACTTACCACATTTTCAGTTTGAGCTGACAATATGTTAAGTTTTTATGTTTAATAATTTGGTTTCGATTAAATTGTGCCGATGACATAAAAAAAGCAATCCACATGAGTTGTTCCTATAGACCCGTTGTTTCTGTTAATAATATAATTGTTTCTTTAATTGTTTAATTTTTTTTCTTTATTTTTTCTTTTTTTTCGTTTCTTTAAATTGTTTTAATTAAACATTTTACTGAAACCACATTAAAATAAACAGAGTATTATTTTAGAAACCTTGCTTAATTGGACGTACAGTAGCAAAATTCTTCTTGATCTAGTGCGAACATGTGAGATTAAGAAAATTAAATATTGTTCAAATATCCATTTCAAAGGAATCCAAAAAAGAAAATATACTGAACACATTGATCCATATCTCAATCAAATTATGAAAATTGTGTGGAGGATTAGATCAAGCGTTGGCTTAGTTTTACTGCCCTCGATTTATAATATTTGGTCAAAAATTTTTATGTTTTTTGTAATAAATGCGCATACTTTTTATACCGGTATATAATGCAATGTTAATTTGGAAAGCAGTAAACAGTAAAAATAGATTTAAAAACCGTCAGATTATCCATTGAGATGTGGGCTTCACTATCAATAAGGTAAAAATTTGGCAAAAGATGATAACAAGATTGTGGATACTTTTCCCTAGTAAAGTTTGGTTGTTGCAATATTACGATCTATGGTTTACAGACTCATTGAAGTAGAGGGTACCATTTACATAACTAGACGGAAAAATAAGAAGTCAACACTAAAAAACTTTTTGAAAAACTCCTAAGTAGGTAGACATTTTTTTGTTTGTTAATATATGTAAATGAATTTATATGTTCAATATTACACTTTTGATTTTATTACTATGTGACTGATTTTTAGAAACATATATGTTTATTTTTTGCTAATTCAACTTTATTCATCAATGTAGTCAACATCAAGAATAATACAATCTTTTCAGTGCTTCTCTAATATTTCGATATCTCTCTTGTAAAATAATATATCCTTGGCTTTAAAATATTCTTCAATTTCAGCAATGTCTTTATCATCGGACCCAAACCTCTATCCCAAACCTCTATCAGCTCCAAACAACAGAATCATCGACACAATGTTGTTTTTTGTTTATTGTTAGCGAATGCAGCACCCACTTTGAAGAGAGCTTTCTCATAAACAAATGTTAATGCAAAATGAAGCTGACTCGTGCCTTTGAAATCTTTAAGGTGTTAGCTATATTCTGTAACTTTACTTAACGGTTTGCCGAAGCGATTTTGTAGAATTTTTGGATTTTTCTAGTGTTACGACATGACCAGCGACCAGTGCGTTCGGCAATATCAGTGTTTGTACGGCCGAGTTTAGAAACGGTAGACTACGTTTCTATCATTTGTTTCGATAAAGCTGAGTCCGGGTAGAATTAATTAAACCAAGTTTTTGGTATCACTAAATTTTTTCCCATCCATTGTTCTGCAAATATAAAAAATAACGTCAATAAAATAGCTACAACTGGAAAGTTCTCACTTTCTAATTTTAGGTGGATTTCTTATTAGTGACGCCGTCAGTGTATCATCCTTGAAACTTATCAGTTTGTTTTGGTTAAGTTAATAGATAGATTAGATTAGGTGAATTTTACTGCCTTTGAGCTGCATTTAGACCTGTTTGTTCGATCGATTGAGATGAAGTTAGACTTCCATGTAAATTTTGTAGTAAATGTTTTGCGAAATTAACATAAATCTTTATGTGTTTTTAGGCCAGACTTGCTCAACAGGATGGTAAAAACATTACTCAATAACTAAGAAAAAGAATTAAATATCTTGAAAATTGTAGTTTGTGTTTTATACATATATATAATTGCTTTATAATCAAAAAAATTAAGTATTTACTTGTTAATTAAGTACAAGATGTTGTATAATCAAAATAAGAAATCCTGCTTAAGACGAATATAACATACTGAGTTTCCTTCCATAATCGTCTCAACTTTTATTTGAATGAAGCTATGTATACCTTAATTATTTATATATGTTAACACAATTTTATTTTTAGCAATTTAATATATATGAACTTTTGACATTTAGCATTCAAGGGCAATAAATTACACATAAAAACAATTTATATTATTTATTTATAAATCCATCTAACTGCTACAGGAATTATAGAATATATGTTTTAATTGAGATTGTACTGACCTATTATTCTATTGCACGTACCACCCGTGAGTCTAAAAGCCAGCACTAAATTTATCATCGTTTCATGACCGATTACAAACATAGTTTCGAAATATAGTATTTGCAGTTTAATCGCGTGATATTAATGCTACCTTGGGGGTATTCCAATGTTAGAGATACCCTACTTTTCGTTAATATTTTGGCATATAACAAACAACAAATAGTTGTTCTTAGTTTTAGAAAACTTTGAGTTGCGATAAAATGAATCCAAAAACAAAAGCGCAGTTTGTGATTTGTTCTCCTCTGCCTCAAAATTCGAAATTGTGAAACCTATTTGGTAGATTAATATTTATTTGTTTTTATGTAAGTACAAGTATATCAATACATACGAGTAATATCACAATTGTTCCAATACGAAAGAATCGTAAACACAATGAGTATATGTCACTTTGACGACGTCATTGTCAACTTGGCTGACATTTGCTCAATTGTTGAAATGAACAAATAAATCAAGGGAGTTACATACCGCGTTGATTTGTTTGTGGCTTGATTTGCATTTCCGCTTCAGTAAATCTGAAATGAAAAATATTGCAAAATAGCTCTCTGGATTAATTGATTCGATTTAAAGCTGAATTTCATATTCACAGTTCTTTTTATAATTCGAAGCGTTATATAAAAAGTGTTCATTTCAGTGAAAAATAGGCGTTTTTGCTAATCAGACAATTGGCTAGGGAATAAATGCACAGATTTATTTGTGATGGATTTAAGCTCTGAAAGGAAGAACTTTTAAAAATTGTTCATAGATGATATAAACTGCAAAGTAACGCTCTGCAAAGAAGTAATAATGGTCAATTATGATGAGAAAGCTAATGTCCAAATAAAAAAATTTATTAAACAATAAAGAATTGTAACAGCAAAATTTTATAGTTTGTTTATTAAAGAGGTTTCAAAAAGTAGGTAACTACTATAACAAAAATTATTTTTTATATTATTTGATTAATCACATTTTTGGCTACCATACAGCTGTTAAGTATTGCCAAATACGCATCATCAGTGGTCTTCGAATTATTTTTTATTTTTGATTATTCGTAAATAATTTTTTGAAACTACAAGTACTAGTGATTGAACTCGTACTCTGCCAAATTTAAAACTCAGAGTCAGCATTGATTAGTCAACGGATTCCAAGCCATACTTGACTCGTATGTTCGAATCTGGAATTTTGTTAATTTGCTGTGAAAGTTCATTAACAAATTGCTATAACACTTGCTGTGTTATAATAAGTTTATTGATACTTTTGAACTTTTTTTGGGAACACACGTCTGTTTAAAACATTATCAAATATCCATTATCAGTGGTCTTTAGAAATTACTCAATATTTATTAGTCCCTAAATAATTTTAAGTACTTCAAGTGTCAATCGTGTGGACTACAAGTTATAAGCCTTAAATTTATAGTTAAACTCATATTCTGTATTAACAATAATATAACTCTGTTGCAAAATACTTCACGAACTAAATATACATTGTGACCGAAAAGTTTTCGGAAATTCTCATTTAAAATTCGCGCGCTGTATATTTTTCGATATTTTAAGTTTATGTAGTTTGGCAGCACTGTCCTTATTACTATGCCAAAAATGAGCGCGATCTGTCAGACAGTTCGTTTACGGCA